GGTGGGCAGGGAGGGGGCCAGGGCTCGCTGACGGCGGTCTCTTGCAGCACGGAGCTCATGCGGCGGGTGCGGCGGTTCCAGCTCGCTCAGTACCAGTGCCTGCTGGTGAAGTACGCCAAGGACACACGCTACTGCACCTCTGGTGTCTCCACGCACGACAGGCGAGTCCTGGGGCAGGAGGACCCACGCCTTTGGGCCCAGCATCTGGGCTGCCTGGCTCACCTGCTTGTTCTCCCTTCCCCATAGGAACACCATGGAGGCCCTGCCAGCCTGCCTCCTCAAGGATGTGTACCAGGAGGCACTGGCCTCTGCAGTCATCGGCATTGACGAGGGCCAGTTTGTAAGTGCGCAGCCAGGGCAGGTCCTGGGGAGCATCTGCAGGATGCGGTCCCTTCAGAGTACCCTGGGCAGAGGAAGGTCTGAACCCTCTGTAGGAGGGTGTGGGAAGAAATACCCTGGGACAGTTTGATCCTCCTGGATTATGCTTGTATAGTCAAACCCTTCCCTTCCATTAGTCCCTGCAGGCTAAGAACAGTGGAACTGGAGTCTGTTTCACGGATAGGCAACATGGCTCTAACTTTCTTTGTGCCCTGTGCTGCTGGATCCTGAGCGAAGTGCTACCCCTTCTTCCTCCTGACGCTGTTTCTGTGACTCCTCTAGTTCCCAGACATCGTGGAGTTCTGTGAGATGATGGCCAATGCTGGGAAAACCGTCATCGTTGCTGCTCTTGATGGGACTTTCCAGAGAAAGGTAAAACACTCTTTTTTTAGCACAGCAGGTGCTTTGGGATCTTCATAGAGCCCATCCAACAGAACTGCCCCTGCTGTCTTGGCACAGGCCTTCGGGAGCATCCTGAACCTGGTGCCACTGGCAGAGAGCGTGGTGAAGCTGAATGCCGTGTGCATGGAGTGCTACCAAGAAGCCTCCTACACAAAGAGGCTGGGAGCAGAGAGGGAGGTGAGTTCCCTTGGAAGAAAAAGCACTTCAGTAGCTTCACCTTGCCAGTCCTGCTAGTCTAGAGGAATCTCCTCAGGGGAACTGAGCTCTGCAGAGTCACTCTCCCAATTTTCTTGCCAGGTTGAAGTGATTGGAGGAGCAGACAAGTACCACTCTGTCTGCCGAGCCTGCTACTTCCGCAAGCGGCATCAGCAGCCTGGGTCGGAAAACAAGGAGAACGTGCCCAAGGGGCTGAAGCAGCTGGATGTGGCTGCCTCCTGGAAGATCTTTGCTTCTTGACTGCTGGGCTCCCACATGGGGAAAAACAAGAGGAAGGAAGCTAAATGCTGTGACTCCTGGATGCCAGGTTTGGCTGCTTCTGCTTTTAGCAAAACTGTTCAGTGTCTTATCTCTACCTGTCAAACCAAGCTGCTCTTCCTCTGCACCAAGCACCAGGAAAGAGGAGGATCAACTGGACCTGATACCAGGGGGGAGCTGAAGCAGTAGCATGACTAAAAATGAGTTCCTTTCTCAGAACACGGAGAAGAGGCAGATGTAGTTACTGATGCTGCCACACAAACAGGTCCTGGAAAGCTGTCAGCAAGCCAGGCTGCAGGGCTTCCATCGCTGGCCTTAATTCTGGCCTGCTCTCCTGGGTCTTCTGCATATGTTCAGACTGCCACTGATGGCTGGTTCACTTGCCTGTGAACACAACCGTTTCTTTCTTGCATGCTGTTGCTAAAGCCCAGGTTTCCTAAGACCGTGTACAGTAACTTAGTATTTTAAACTCACTTCCTTTTTTAACATAGTCTGAGGAGATAACCCATCCCTTGTCACAGAGCTATGGCACAACTTTTCAACTGACACACGTAGCAACCGCCTGGCCCTCAGCAGTCCCTTTGAACGAATGTTTGTGGCCTGTCCATTTGCTGTTACACTCAGTTGCTCTAACTGTCTTGTAAATTTTTGTTGAAACAGAAGAGGGGGAAAGGAAGGCTTGACTTGACAGCCTGAGAGTAGGCTCTTGCTAGCTTTTGAACTTTAAAAGGGCAAGCAGTAGTCTGTATATTAAGACAGAGTCCTTTTGGAAGAACTAGACTTCACTTCAGGAAGAGCCTCCTCTCCAAAATCAGGGTGTTCTTGTTCAGGTCCAATCTTGGTGCTGCCACTTCAGTGTTTAGTTACCTGTGAAGGGTTTGGAGGCTCAGGACTTACTCCGTAAATGTTTGGACTACTGTGTCTGTGAAGATCTAGCTACTTGGAAAAGGGTCTCTGCTTTGAGTGGATGGTTCTCAACTCTAGTCATGCATCTTGCTCCCTCCTGAGCCTTCCAAAAATTTTCGAGGCTCATTCTTCCTCTGCTGTAAGTTGACTGAAGGATCCTCTTCCCCCTTTGCTTGACTTGGCTTCTGGAAGGTTGTTTTGTTTTTTTCTTACTCCTTGCAAAGTGCTGTTCACTGTAAGCCAGTGTCCACAAGCTCCAAGCAGTGGCTCCTTGTTCGGGCCAGGTCAAATCCACATGTGCAAGCGCAGCATGCTCTGCTTGCCTGCACCCTCCCTGGAAGCTTACAAGAGCCGTCTGAAAACCCCTGCTCCCTCTGTGTTACTTGAAGGGACTACACTTGTAGTACTCACAAGCACTTGATTGCCAGGCTTGGGCTTTCCCCTTAGGGACGGGGAAGGCAGCACTGCTATGGGTTCAGGTTAATAAATAACTTAACAAAACTGTCTGTGTGTGTTTTATACCAGACTGCTCTGGAAAAAGCTTCCCTGCAGCGAGCAGCACGCAAACAGTGCAGGCTGATCGCTCACAGCAGCAGCCTGTGCTGGAGGGCTGGTCGCAGGGGTGGCATTGGAGCTCTCTGCTCAAACCCTCTATCAGACTCTGCAAGGAGCAGGAGGAGGGCTTGCCTAAAAATAGACACCAGCATGAGTGTGCTGTTTGCAGTGCAGCAGTTGGCTGGGGCTGTTCTGCTCTTTCCCTGCCTGGACCCCCCCCTGCCCCAGCCCTCCGGGAGAGAGGAGGAACCCTGTTTTGCTTCCCCAGAGAAGAAAGGCACTTAGTGGCTAGGTGAAAAAGTTTATTCCATCTCTACAGTGACAAAGAACTATTTGAACGCCAGCCCCAGCAGCGACAGCTCGCATACCGCACACCGCTGCTGGGAACAGCTTCGCAACAGGTGCAGCAGAAAACACAACCGGAGCCAGCCAGCCTGCACAGGCACCCTCAGGGTCAGCCGGGAGCCCAGGCTGTGAGCAGGGTGCTGCAGAGGGAGCAGCAGGCAGGACGCGGGATGGTGGCCTCACTTCTGCGGAGGCAGTGCTTAGTGGGAGGCGAGCGAGGGGGGCTGAGTCAGCAGGGAAAGCACTCCAGGACCTTCCCCAGACAGCTGGAACATCACAGCCCTGCTGAGAGATCCCAGCGCTCGCTGCTCCCATGGATCCCAAACCGCGTCACCTGAGCACCAGCAGCTCTAGTGCAGGCTGTGGGAAGGCACAGCATGGGAGTTTATAGTCAAAAGAAGACAGGGCTTTGGCATCAAGCTCACCCAGCAGCAGCCAAAGGGGGAAGGCACAGAAGCTGGCGGCAGGCAGGAGCTGGACTGCCCGGCTGCGCTACGACAGCGAGAGCTGGCACTTATGGGGTTGCAGCTGGCAGGGCTGGAAAGGCACTGGTACCAGGACAGGCTGGGGCAGCAGTCACAATGGCAAAGCCAGGCCGGAGCCGGAGGGGTGCAAGCCACACACCGGTCCTGCTGCTTCCTCCCGCGGCTGCTTCCCCCAAGGCCACAACAGCGAGGGCAGGAGCTCACCCACCCTCGGCAGAGCCATGAGGCTGCGCTCAGCAGTTGCGAATCACCCACTATGTGCCGAATCACCCACTACACACCGGGCACCAGATCCCAGCGGCGGGGAGCTCAGCTCCACCGTCAGGACCAGGCCCCTCCTGCGCCCCAGCACCAAGGCGCGGTGGCCTTCACACAAAGCAGCCGCCACTCTCCCACCCCACCTTCCCCCTTCAAGTGACAGGTCCCTCCCCTCCCACCCCAAAGAAGAGAATTGCACTGGTACAGCCGTCTTTGCCCGGCCACCGGGCAGGGGCTCAGTACACCGGCGGGGGCTGGTAACCCTCCGGGGCTTCTGCCGTGTGGGTGAAGGGCGGCTGCTGGTAGCTCTCGTGACTGATGTTGGGGTAGCTGGAGTAGGGAGCTGAAGCCTCCGGGGTGGGGTCGATGTAGCTGTGAGCAAAGTCCTCCACCCCCATTTTGTACCTCTTGTAAGCGAAGGCAATCAGGAGGCCCTAGAAAGATGAGGGGGTCGGCGGCGTCAGGGCTACCCTGGGCTGTGTGGCCCGGGGACCCCCTCCACGCTGCCTCCCGAGCGGGGCAGGGCCGGGCTCTGCCGTGGCTTCACTCACCCAGGAGAAGATGGAGAAGAAGCTGAAGGTGATGGCGGCACGGGCCGAGTCAGCCCCGATGTACACGTCTTCGGCCTGTGTCCAGGCCCACTGGTTGGTCAAGAAACAAAAGCCAATGAACCACAGGAACGTCCAGAGACCTGCAGGAGGAAGGCGGTGTGAGGGGCTGGGGCTGCATCCTGCTGCTCCCAGGCAGGTCCCCAGGCCAGACCCTGCTCCCACCGGGCTTCTGCTGCCATCGTGGGGGGGGGGGGCCAGAGGCCAGCGCAGGCGCCCAGCCCGGCGCAGCTGCCAGCGTGCTGCTCCCCATGGCTCCTCAGAGCGCTTTCAAGCAGGCAGCGCGTGGTCCGTGGGCAGTGTGCCAGGCGGGAGCAACTCCCTTCACCAGGCACCGGCGGCCACGTCACGGGACAGGGGCAGCCATCGTAGCAGCCGCAGAAGGCGCAGCCCTGCCCTGTGGCTGCCAGTACCTGAGAAGCCGAGGTCCGCCAGGACCAGGTACTTGCGGTCAGTGGTGTTGCTGATCTGGGGGAAGTAGATGTCCACCATGAAGAAGAAGATGCAGGCGAGGAAGGCGAGGACGCCGATGCCGATGCCGTAGCGGCAGGCGTCCTCGTTGTGGTTGAAGATGCAGAAGAGCTGGGGGGAACTGGGCAGGTTGCTGTAGCCCTCCCCGACCAGGCAGGCAAAGACGATCAGGGCGAAGACCTGCAGAGGAGGGAGCGAGCAGGTGTCCGGCGGGCAGCACCGGGGCTGTGGGGCCCCTTCCGGGGGGGGCTCTCAGCGGAGCGCCCGTCACCGCGGCTGCGCCGGGGCAGGACGCCGGGAGGGGAAGGGAAGGGAAGGGAAGGGAAGGTCGGGCCGGGCCGGGCCGGAGGGAAGGAGGGGAAGGCCGGGCCGGGAGGGAGAGGAGGGGAAGGCCGGGCCGTGCGGGCTCGGGGCC